TGATTATATTATTACGTTGATTTATTTAAAGCAGGTGCCTTAGGGATAGCAGGCTATTAAGGCACCTTAGGTTTTAGTATAATATTAGGATTAATGTATTCCCATATTCCTACAAGAATTATAGATATCTATATAGCTTTATACTACAACCACCAGTCGTCCTTGCTATTCAAGACGACTAAGACCTTGATGGCTTGGCTATAAAGCAAAGTATCCTCTATATTAATAGACCAGAGCTACACTAGTTCAGGGAAAGTTTCGCGCGTAATTAGCAAGGTTAGAATAGCTTCATAATAAGCCTATTCAGGTAATAAGGGTCCAGAGGTGGGTTATAGGTAATAATAAAGAAGAATATTCCTAGTAACCCAGGCTCATAACTATCATCCGGGCCGTTAATCTAGGTGGAGGATCTAAAGAAGGTTAAGAGGTCTATTATTCTAAATAACTAGGGAAACAGCACTATTTAAGCACAGGAATCAACTAAACTAAATAAGGAAATAGGGGCTATCTAATATTACTACTCCAATCGCTATATCTCGTGAGTCCTGAGAGGAATGTTCGATGGAATGGTGAGAGGAATGCTTGCGCGGGGTCCGGAGCCAGGGGCTCCGGCCGACACCTTATTTTAGTTCTCATCCCTTGCCCAGGGAGTTCTGTCACGCCAGACCCTAGGCACATAAGCTTTCGATGCTTTCTCTCGAGGTGAGCGTGGTTCAACTACCCTGTCTTGACCTCGTCCCCTTGTCAACCCTTAAGATGGATTGACAATTGTCGCAGTCCCCCATTGTTCGAACTGTCAGTCAGGAATGCACTCGGGAGGCGTTCAGCACAAGAAAGGAAAACCAACAAGTGGATTCCACGTGATTCTTGCTTGTGGGGCGAAGTCTTTGGACTGCTGGTGTTTAATTTGCTGAATAGTTTAGGCTCTGATTGGTTGCCTCCAGCTGTCGTTCCGACAATCGCCACAACTCACCAGTCTGTGGACTTTGGACTGGGTGTCGATTGAATCGGTGTTGATACGGCGGGAGATGGCTTTATGCGGCTATAATACGCCTGCGCATCATCTCCATTCTACTGAAGCTGTAAGGGTGTCTTGGAAAGAAGTTCGTCGTGGTAGTAGGTCAATTCTTGGCCAGAGAACTGAGTAGAGGGTATAGTAGTACACCAACCAAATATATATCTTCAACCCAGTGGCTAATAACATGTGACCAACAACAACAGGCCGACTTCCAGGTGGTTTATCCCATCCTAGTCACTTGTATTTACGCTCAATACTTGTTTATAGACGTCAAGTTTCAATCCTTGTTGCTAAATGCTCCTGACGCGCTGCCATAACATCTGAGAATGATTATATCATCAATGCCAAGACCTGGTGTCAACAACAACAAAACACTGACGCGTCTGCCAACCGCCTTTACATTCAATGCCACTATTTGGTCGGCTGAAGAACGAAGCAATCTGCCTGCCAAAACAAGCTTGTCTACCCCCGGGACTATGTACAGTTGGCCATTACCAGTCAAAAGAAGGAGAATCATCCTACGCCCCGTTCGCCGGCTGCCTGTAAACGACCCCGTCAATTGTTGTGGTCAATGTCCCATTCGCATTGAAGACGTTCGTCATCGCATCGATCGATAGCTGGAACCCTCCCGGTCCTGTCTTCTTCGTCGCACGGACAACCCCCGTACCGACCAAGTCAGAAGTCCAGTCCACGTGGCTCATCCATGGGTTTGTCGGATTGGGCGTGGAGGTCACAGACTCAACCCCGTTGATAACATGTTCACCGTCATCAGAGTAGTTGTCGTACTCGACGGAGATGGTCGTGAGGGCGCCAGTGCTTGGGTTTTCCACAAACGTCGCGTTGGCAGTGCCGCTGACTCTGCCTCTGAGGGTATACGTCCCCGGGGGAAGGGCGTACTCTTCTGGGTACTCTGAACCAGGTGGGAATGGGATAGCCCACGGGATGAAGTCGGGAACGTCAAAGACCGGGGCTGGCTGGGTAGGTTTTCGGTTCTTCAGCCGAGCAAGCATGACACGGTACACACGGCCTCCTTGGGCAGTCGAGGTCGGACAGGGGAGCGGGTTCACACCGCCGCATGCGGGTGCAGTGACCAGAGCCTGCCAGTAGACAATCTTCGTGCCGTCGTAGGAGAATGCCGGATCTGCACGGCCGTTCCAGTTGGGATCACTCCCGGCATTGACTTGCTGGCCAAAGTAACCCCCTCGGTCGCCATATCGGTCGATCAGGATGGGCTGGAAGAAGCGGCGGTGATAGTTGTTTCGGGTCGAGGCAGCCGCCATGACTGTCACTCCATCAATAAGCGGCGGAATGCCTCGCATCCCAGCCATCCACATCTGACGGTCTGAGCCTCGGGTATCCATGACGCAGAACCAGTTGTTGTCGTGCGAAAACGCGACCGGGTCGGCGTATTCAGGGTGACTGGTTATGCGACGGACTTTGCCGGTGACAACGTGAACTGCGAAGATGTCGTGGTTGTTGGCCTCACGAGTAGGCCCAATATACAGGATCTCATCCCCAGCGCCACTGAACCCTCGTAGCTCGCCAACCCGAATGGCTTCAGGGTGTTGCTCAAGCTCCCCCTGGTCGTTAACCATCAGAGATGCAGGTCCCGTTGTGTCCATGAGTAGATTGACGTCGACAAGGTCATAGCGTGGAGCTCGAACATCGCCGGAAGACGGATTCGGGTTGAATTCCAGCCGGCCAAAGTAGGTATTCTGACCACCGTTTGCAGTGAATGAGCTCCATCCCATGTGGATATCATCCGGATGAAGCCGCATCTCCCGCGGCACACCTCCGGCTCCGGACCCGTCTGCGGCCACTGGCCAGAAGATCGGATAGATGAAAGTATTGTTCGGGGTGCAAGCATCGCTAGATAAGAGGGCATCCCCGCAGTCAATGATATTATGACCCCAGAGCGCTTTGGTCCCACTCCGAGCAACATGTGGATAGTCCCGCTCGGGGTCAAGGGACTGAGCATTGCCAGCAGGAACGCCACAGGTTAGGCATTTCCACGGGTCACCGTTTGGAAACGTCTTGCCGTTGGTCTTGACAAGGATGAGCTGCTCCCCGGTGTAGATGCTCGCAGGATCGGGAGCGTTGGGGGCACCGATAAACTCAAGATTGACGACAACATGGTCACCGTCCAGGGTGAAGTCGCCGGATTGGAAGTCGACAAAATCCTGACCGATGCAGCCAGTTCGGCGGGGATTGGCCTTCTTCGTGCACGCACCAACTGTATCACTCGAGATGACGGGAGGGAGAGGAAGCTCAACAACGTCGATCGGTTCAGGACGAGGCGGCTTTGGCACGCTCTGCCCGGAGGTTGCCTGGGAGAGCAGCAAAGCTACAGCAGCTAATGGGAGAAGGGCCATTTTCCTTTGTCTGTAGAAAGGTGGTTTGTCTGTAGGCTTGCGAGGGATCTCCAGAACCTGGGGCTCATCCTTCTTTACATAGTCTTCGTCATGCTCCGCCAGACGATCATATGCCAGCCCCATCGGAGGTCGGTTATTGAAGTTGTTTGTGGGGTTATTCACAGATGCCGATCGCTCTGCGATACACCGAGCGACGCACACACAATCTACCGAGTCGGCAATGCCTGCACCGACGAATTGAGGCTGTATAGGGTCGTATCTGGATAATTGAGGTCTGCAAGTTGGTCACGGGCACAGACGGCAGTTGGCAAGAGCCAGCCACGTGTGGAGACCCTTAAGGGATGAGCCAATAGGAGGAATTTTGCGTATTCGTGTGCCTGGCCTGATCCGGAATGGTTCACGAGGCTCCACGCAACTTCAGCAAACTCCCTTTATACGCGGGGTACCCCAGAGCCAGAGCGAGAGCCATTCATCGCAAGCTGCAGTATACGAGGAACCGAACGCATGCCCTCTCGCCGCACCCACTCCAAATCCCACCACGGCTGCGACCAGTGCAAGCAGCGGCGGATCAAATGTGACGAGGTCCGCCCAACGTGTGGATCCTGCCGGAAGAAAACTCTGGCATGTGTTTTCAAAAGTGTTGGCCCGGTGCTCGCCTCGAATCTTCCGAACCTCGCTACAGACATTGTCCGAAGGGATCAACCGCCTTCGCTTCCTCTACAGGATCTGGAGCTCATGCACCATTGGCACACGGCTACTGTGGATACTCTGGACAGCGCAAAGCCTCTGCAAGATGTCATCCGTATTGCGATGCCACACGAGGGTCTGAGGAATCCCTTTCTCATGCATAGTATCCTGGCTGTCGCCGCGGTTCATCTCGCACACTCTACCCCGGCCGATCGTCGACAGGGATACATTGAAACAGCAATGATGCACCACAACAGATCTCTCACCCTGTGTGCCCCCTTTGTGAAGAATATTACCCGGCAAAACTGCCACGCCCTCTTCGCCTTTTCCTGTCTTGTTCCAATCTTTGTCTTTGCCTCGCAGACGTCACGGATGTCGCCCCGCACCCAGAGCCTCGCTGAGGTGGTCGAGACGCTCAAATTAATCCGCGGCATCTCGTCCGTTGTGGAGCAGGCGAGACCCTGGATCGAAGAGGGTCCAATGCATCCTTTGCTACGTGTCGGCAAATTCCATCATCCGAGCGAAGTAGACGAGCAGCATGCCCAACGTCTGTATTCGAAGCTCCAGACACTCGAAGAAAATCTACTTCTTTCGCCAGTGACGGAGGAGTCACTCGCTCGGAGGGATATCCCCCGTGATGCAGTGCAATGGCTTCGGCATATGCTGGAGATCTATATCGACACCGGCGATTCGAGGGCGCTCATGGCGTGGCCGGTCCTGGTTGACGCTGCGTATTTTGACCTGTTGCTCCAGAAGGAACGGATCTCCGTCCTTATGCTCGGATTTTTTGGATCTTCGCTAGAGGTTCGCCCGCAACGGTGGTGGCTGGATGGGACAGGGCAGGGCCTGGTTGCTCTTGCTACGGAGAATCTGTCGCTCGCGGATCGGGAGATACTTTCGAGCAATTTGTCGATAGCGAAATGATTGTCATCTTTGGTGAATGCCCTCTCACACGAGTCTTTGGTAATGCTTAATCGGCATACTACTGCCCGCTCTTAGAAACTTACGCCACGGTTCAAGTCGAGAAGACAATACAGAAAAGACTGGATGGTATTGCTGCTGGTACTAATTATTCCCCCGAATTGGAGCGCAGAAACAAACCCAATCCGCTGATATCGATAGAGGAAATGACAGGGAAGGAACGACGAAGGCTTGGCTGAGGGCAAACCAGGGCTATTGAACAAGGCACACGGTATTGGCTCGCCGAACAGTGTGATATTCCGCATTGAGCGAACTCTCACATTTCCGAAAATGATGCGCCGCTTACTGGCCCTCCTCCCTCGTCGCCTGGGCAAGTCTCTGCGTTGCGGTCTCGGTCTTATGGAATCTCCACGGCTTGATCTTCCTCTCGAATAGCTCATCCAATTCGGCTGCGGAGCGTCTAATTCTTGTATCAGCATTGAATTGTATCGAACAAAGAGTAGACAAGAAACGAATGAGACATACCCAGCAGTCTCTGGAATCAAGAACCACATTCCAATGGCAAAGGGGGCACCAAAACCGGCATAGAACCAACCGGTCTTTAGCCCCCAGTTCCATTCATTTTTATTGGTCATGTAGGGAACCAGGACGTTCATAATCACACCCACGACGCAAGTGGACGCGGCGCCGAAACCGGCTGTATACGGGCGGAGACGCTGCGATGAGATCTCGCCAATGTATCCCCAGCCTGTGGCACCGTTGGCGGCGAGTCCGACATCTGAAGGTGTTAGGATACTGTACACATTCTGCGGGGGAAACACTTACTCCAGAAACACGCAAACAGGATGAAGATGTATGTCGATGCTTTGACCTGCGGAGCGACTCCGATGATTCCGATGGCGATGCAGGACAGCCAGGACAAGGTCGTTCCACTGCAAGCGAGGATCCTCCGGCCCGTGAAATCAACAATAGCGACTAGGACGAGCACAGTTCCGATCTGGATAGACGAGGTAATCACCTTGACACGGAAGGGGTCGTCGATGCCTGCCTGCTGGAAGAAGTAGGTGCCAAAGGAGCCGAACAGGGTCAAGCCGATGAATTGCTGCGATAGGGTGGTCCACAGTGAGATGAGCGTGCGCAGTCCGTTTGTGCCGCGAAAAATCTCGTACCAGTGCTCCCTGTTCTGTTCGACAGCAAGAGCGCGTTCGTGTTCGGCTACCAAGACAAGGACCTGCAGTTGGTGGTCCACGTTGTAGTCTTTGACATGGCCGTTGAGCCTCTTGAGGTTCTTTTTGGCGCGCTCGTGCTTGCCTGCTGTGACGCACCAGGCTGGGGTCTCTGGGACAAGGATGTAGATAATAAGCATGATGCCCAGCTGTGCCCACTGCGTGTAGATTGGAGTCAAGTAGTCGGTCGGATCGCTCCTGGAGAGATGCTGCAGTGCCACCTGCGCAAAGAAGGAACCCAGTGTCCACCAGAGACTGTATGCCATCAATAGACCACCTCGAATCCGAGCAGGCGCGACTTCAGCAATATACGTTGGTACTGTCGATTGCACACCACCGACACCGATACCAGCAAGCAGTTTACCAATCAACCACCCTTGCCAAATCCGTGTTGTCGACTCGGCGATCACGCTGCCCACTAGGATGAGCCAGTAGGTATACATGGCTGCCTTTCGTCCGTAGCGACTGGAGAGGAAAGAGAGGGAGGTCATGCCGATAATCTGTCCGCACGACATGATGGAGCTCCAACCGCTCAGGATTGGAGAGGCGAGCGAAGGAGATCCGTCGGCGGAGGTGTCGGTTGCAAAGCGAGCGACGAATCCTTTATTTGCGATGATACTGGCGTTGATTCTGCATCTTGTTAGTGCGAGGCTTTGCAATTCCTCAGGAAGACGGGTGAACGAACCCGATCTGATATCCATCGGTCGCCGCACTAAAGGCCATGGCCATGCAGACAAGGGTGCAGAGCTTGAAGGTTTTCACAGTCTCGAGCACACTGAGTTCCTCGTAACCGGTCATCGCCTGGCCGCGGGTTGCGGCATCGATGGCGGCCTCATTCTTGATGGGGTTGTCATCGTGGCTGGCTTCGACGTGCTCAACGCCCTGGGGCTTTTCTGCCGGGCGTGTATCCATTTCAATAGAATGAACAGGTGAAAAGGCGAACAATGTTGATGGCTGCGTACTACCACAGATGAAAGCGTCTGACGGAAACACCAGGCTTTAAGACCTACCGAGGTCGCCCCTTCTGGCACAATTCTCACCGAGGTGGCTTGATCCTGTGAGCGTGGCCGTCTCGAACAACCGCCGTCGCTAACGCCGCTGGACAATACGCTTCATCTAAACAGGTCTGGCCCAAAGGGAACGAGGTCGTCAATAGCCGATATCCTCCGCACTTTCTACCCCAGGGGCATCTGACAGCAACGGCGGGTCTCTTTTCTGGGAAGGAAGATGGATGTGGAATCGGGGTAGCACCTACCAAATCAAAAGCCGATACGACAAAAGCTTCTGTGAAGAGGCTGGTCTGCTGGTGCCCGGGGGTTTCGATTGGGAGTCTGGGAGATTGTCGGGGTCGAACGTTATACCGGATCGAGTAAGGTGAACGATAGGGAGGCGGTCGAGATCGTACCCCAGGATGAACGGTGCGGGGGTTGGTGCTGAGCTGCTCTGCCTTGGGAACAGCTTACGGGGATTTGGCTGTCATCTGGGCAGTTTTACTGGAGCGAGCGAAAGAGCGAGGGCACCCGTTCAGCCTAATGTCGCATCACACTCCCCCGGATATGCGGGGCCTGGACCCCAGTCCGTACCCATGATCCAATCATATTCTTCCGGTTTCTCCGGTATAAGAGGGACCCGGGGATACTTTTCGGAGGTTATCATTGGTCGAGCTAGTCATGGTTGCTTCATTGTCCATGGGAAGTACGCAACACAGCAAGAGTCTACCAGACAATTCTGCTCCTAGGCGAACCCAAGCGAGTGGCAGTGACTATAATCAGGAGTAGAGGTAGTGGAAAAAAACATGTGGCAGTTCTCGCAATAGAGAGCAATCAAAGCTCGGTAACACCAAGGTAAAGGCAACCAGGGTTCTTAGGCCAGTGATGGAGTATAACCACGATCCTTCACGGGGCTGGCCCCAACGTACGTGCCCAAGTCCCGAGGGGAGGTTCTGCCAGGGCTGTCGAGCTGGGAACTGCGGCATGCAATGTTGTTACAGAGCCAGGGCCATGGTTATGCCTGGAGGGGGCATGCTTGATCTCACGAAAGCTCAAATCGCAGCTAAACAACCTCTTGTTTATAGTTGACCACCCCCACTAGGATAGAGCAAGCTTCGGGAACTGCTTGTCCTGGTGCTACGGGGGAAGGTTGTTGATGAGTAGAGAACGAGTACATTGCCCTGCGAGGTGCTATTATATTTTAATGGGCTTCACTACCGTGCTCACAATGGAATGTGTTCTCATTGGAACAGTAAATAGCATCCCTCTGCTACTGCGCAGGAAATGGGCACATCAATAAGCGCGCCCATCCCATATGTTCAAGTATGGAATGATGCGATAGGGGTTGACACCCCCTTGGACTGCCAGCTGCACGGGACGAACTAGCAATCATTCTTTCTGCCTGCTCGGGTCTGTTTCATCAAGAGTTTTATGAGCCCTATACCTGGAATCCTCCCTATCTTTGTCAAAAACCCGAGCGACCTCCTCCAAAGGAATACCTGCCCTGTGTCAGTAAAGGATGATGATTGGTTTCGCATTGCTTACCTCGTCTCTGGAAACACAAAGGAAAATGTCAACACCTCGATCGCTAGAATCACGATGTAGACAAAATAATACTTCCACCTGATTGACTCAAGGCCAATGGGGTTGGCATGCTGGTTGACAGGACTCGCAATCGAGATAAATGACCAGCAAAGGGCAACCCCTTTTGCACGAATATGATAAGGAAGGACCTCGGTGATATATGCCATGACTAGGCCTTGGAAAGCCCAGCCGATGACCCCGTTGAAAAGAAACATCATGGCGATGACCGCTTTGCCCGCGTTGGCGTCGTCTTTCTCCGTGTAAACTGCCGAGCAACTGGACGGTGTTAGATATGAATGGAATGGAAATGTTATCATAAGGGCTCACGCTGTCTAAACGCTGAACACGATGGGTGGGTTAACTCGAAGACGAGGAGTGGTGCAGCAGCTTCGCTGATGTTGGAGCTGCAGACTCTGTTAATTCAAGCAGCGGGGGAGCCTTGTATTAAGTCTGACATGCGCGAACCCCCAACAGCACTCGTCCTCCCATGAACATGCCCTTGGTTGTCCCTGGCACAACTGTTGCACATGAGCCGTGGCACTGTTGCCTTTATTGTACCGGGTGCAAATACCTTGAATTATAGCACCGATGATGATGAACACATTCCCAACTCCCGCCCCGAACTTGCATCCGTATTGATCAGTGATATACAGGGCTTCGAGGCATCAGTTCCTAGTCATCAAGGATAAACAAAGGGTGTTACGCACCGACTAGGATTGTGGCCACTGAGATGTCGCGCTTATAAGGCTGAGTTCCGAGCCCTGAGGATGACCGAAATCTGGGTCATGTCAGCTCGGGTCGCTCAACCACATCTGCAGAGACTTACAGTCTCTCCACGCAGGAACTCTGAAGACCATTGAGCAGTGAGGCGTTGTAGCCCCTAGTGGCCGTTGCGAGAAAGAGAACGGGCATTAGAAGATAAAGCCTGCGCAAGGCAAGATGCCGAATCTAGGAGACTGCTTCCCACTCTAACCTTCACTTGTGGTTTTTTATTGTGGACAATGGACTCTGGTTGTGGCTTACGATCTCCTCCCAAGGGGGAGAACTGGGGCGAATTTGGTCATACTAGTGGAATATCTCTGGCTGGGCACACAGAATAACTATATTGATTTCGTCTCCAACTGGAAGCACTCTATACTCGACCTTAAACTTTGGGGAAACCTCGACGAGTTTTAGTCACTTCGGGCCTTATTGACAACTGTGCAGCAACTGCAGACTCTATCGCCAGAGCAAGTACTAAAGCATTGCGCCAGCCTAACCAACATGTTGCTTATCTCCCAGAAATATTGCCTTGTTTCTACTTGTTCCACGAGCCTGACTGCAACAGACTAATATGTATCGTTCCAAGACATTATTTGATGATGGTTGGTCCTTCCATCTTGGAGACAATATCCAACGCCCACAAAGAATTATTGCCAAACGCTTCACCGCGAATCAACTCAGCGAGCTCATGGAAGAAGAGTGCGAATTTGCTTGTGTTAAACCTTACAATGGCAAATTGTCTTCCCAGGCAGTGAAATGGCACAAGAAAACGGCCGGAGAGGACTGGATGCCTGTGACAATACTGTATGACTGGCGAATAACCCAAGTCCCGAAGCCTGGAAACAGGCCGTATATCAATTATCCCAAGGCCTGCACAAGGGTTCTTTCCGACCAACGTTGGCTATTATCACAAGGTGTTTGAGTTTAGATCTGTACGAGAGGAGGAGCACGTTACGCTGACGTTTGATGGAATTGCCGGGTTCTCGGATGTCTGGCTCAACGGACTGCGGCTGGGTTCCCATTCCACAAGCTACTTGCCTTGGTGATAGAGCTTACAGAACTTCTGCGAACAGAGGCTCTAAATTTACTTCTGGTGTGCTCCAATATCCAAGAAGCCGAAGCCTGGTGGTATGACGCTGGTGGCATCTTCTGACACGTCTGGATTGAAACCTTCAATGACCTCCATGTTGCAAGGGATGGTGTATATGTTACGGCATCTTTTGTTGGCGGAGCAAAGGTAAAGGTTCAGCTCGAGATCGAACTAGACAACGACGGCCTGAGTAGCGCTGAAGGGATGCTTTATGTTGGTATCGGGGCCATTGGCTCCCACAGAAAGATAATGTCGCCGTTACCAGCGCTAACTACACCTTACGTGGTTGCTCAGCATCCACAATCTCGTTGGAAGCTTAGATCTAGAATCCCAAGCTATGGACAATCGGGTAAGGCAATATGTACGAAGCCTGTATCACCGTCGAGATCTCCCAAGGTGCGGTCGTCGACGAAGCCAGCCAGACATTTGGCATACGAAGCATTGATGTTGGTCAAAACGGAATTAGTATTAATAGCAACCCTTTACAAAAAAAATATATGGCGTTAACCTGCATCAGGACTTTGGGGATTACCGGGGAGCTGTGCCGAAGCGAATCATTGAGAAGAAGCTGCAATTGTGTGCCGAAATGGGGGCAAACATAATCTGGTGTGCTCTTCACCCTACGACACCAGAGTTGCTTGATGCGGCAGACCGACTCGGGATACTGGTCTTGACAGAGACACGACTTCTTTGCTTGTCGTCTTTGATGCTTGAACGATTGCAGGTCTTAGTCAAGCGGAGGGTGATAAGATTCCCTTCCGTGTGTACAGCAACTGCGATAAGATTGAAATCCTCGTGAAAGGCCAGCAGGCACAGACTCGCCCAGACTGCCCGTCAAGGCCTATATGGTTGAAATCAACGGAGGTCTTGTCTACGCGCCCGGTACAGTACTTGTGCGAGGTTATCGCGCTGGCAATCCACTCTACGATGCGGGCAACTTCGCAGCGACAACCAGAATTTCCATGTTCAATGGGCAAGCAGCGAGTATCCTCGAGTCTATAGAGATGCCCGGCGAGATAACGTTGACAGCCAAATTGGATGGCCTTCCAGCAGCCATCGTCGCCATGACAGTTGTCAAGGTCGGTTGTGCCGATGCCGAAAGGATTCTGGACGAGGCGTCACATCAGTGGCGGATACACTTTTGGAGTAGTCTAGTGAATCCAGAGATTTTCCAAAATTCCAGACCCATCATCATGAACAAAGCAGATATCCCCTTGTAATTATTCCGCTCTGATTTCTCCTTTCGTTTGCTACTGCACAATGACGCCGCACACCCATGTCAGTCGCGCCTGCGATGCTTGTCGAGACCGCAAGATGCGGTGTCACCCGGTCAGCCCGGGTGAGATTGATCGGCCTGGGCAATCGGTCGCTTGTCGAGCGTGTATTGAGCGGAATATCCCTTGCACGTACCAGCGGCCTGTTGCAAAGCGTGGCCCCTTGCCCAAACGGTTGGTCTCCCAGCCGCGGAATAGTCGATGCTGAGTCTCACTGTGTAGAGCCCGGCCGAGTCCGAGCATTTCCAGCCATCTGAATTTTCGCAGACCTTAAACCGAACTCGACTGGCCGCTTTCATCGGACGCGTACGACCTCGATGACTACCCACAACACCCTCCCATACCTCCCCGCTCGACTCCACCCCCGGAGCCTTCGACGGGCCCAATCCTCTTGAGATTCTGCAGACGTATCGCGCCGACGCGAGCCTCGTATGCTGCCTCTGCTCTCCATCAACATGGGATCTTGTGAACCAAGACTTTCTGACCTACGTGTATCCCTTGATTCCGGCCGTCCACACCCCGACTTTCCTTTCCTCATTAGAAGCGCATCGCACTATCCCTCATGGCCCATTTGCTTGCCTATAAACCTCAATCTTCGCCATCGTCAACGCCCTACTACCCTCGCGGTTCAAACACTACAAAGCTGTTAATCCAACACTTGCGCGCAATGGTGGCATCACTGATAAAGTGCAAGCCGTCTTCCGCGCACATGACGTCTTCAATCTGATCAAGGGCCCAGAGCTCCAAGACGAACCGAGTATGACATCTTGGGCGACGATGTACTTATTCGGAGCCACGTATGCATCTCTAAACCTCCTCCATAGGTCCGTTATGTTCCGATCGCGTACCTACGCCATCATGCTTAGCATGAATCTTCTACTCGTCAAGACCTACGCCGGACTGAACCCTATTGAGACGCAGCTGAGGAAGAAGGCCGTGTGGCTGACCTTGACAGGCGTAATTTTTGTATGCGTTTTCCTACATCTTCTCTCCATTATGCATGGCATCATTTCCTGACACCCATCGCCAGTCACTCGCGGGTATTCGGCACAATGCCTGATCTGTGGAACAGCGGAATGGCACGTCGGATCCGGACAGACCAGTTACTTCCGCTCGAGGTCGACGATGAGTATATCTCGGAAACTGAGACCAAAGAGCAACCGTCAGGAGTGGTATACTTGACGACGGGCTTCCTTGCTGAGAAGAGGATCTTGCTCGATTTACTTGACTTGGATTATGACCAAATGCCGGAGAGCCCTCGCATCAGCAACATGGAATCAGATACAGAGATCAGGGGCTCTTACTCTGCAAGACAAATGCCTTTAACAACCGCTCCAACCGTCCTCTTGGACCGCATACGAAGGCTCAAGTAAAGCCTAGACGATTTCGCCCCATCTCGCGGAACCACATCTCATGATCAAAGCTCACCCCTTCCAAGCGAGCCACGTCACACAATCGCAGAAGAGGTGGCCGAAATCCAAAGAGTGAACGTCTATGTGACCAACTACTGGGCTCAGAACTACCTGATCGATCGTCTCCTATCCCTCTCGTCTGCGCCAAACTTTTCACGTCAAGAAAACGTACCCAGTATTCTGGACCTCTGGGAACGAAGAGAAGGACTGTGTTGCGAGCTCCTGCAGTTCTCAACAACTCGAGCCTAGCTGCGCTACAGCGAAATGTTTATGCACTTGTAAGTCCATGTAGAGAATCTCCGATATACCAATACTGACAAGACAGATTTACAAAATCCGACAGGTTGCAGCGGCACTTCTGGATTGCCCTGCGGAGCCTGCAGCCTTTTTTGCGCCTCTCCATCGTCGTGTTCGGACACATGTGAAGAGCTTTAACGAAGTTCTTGTAAAGATATATGCCGATGCGGCTATTCCTTGAGATAACCATAGGTGCTCTATGATGGAACGCACCAACTTTAGCTTATGAATCGTACCTGTCTGATGCAAGAGGCATATTATACCTGAAAAAGACCCAGCTCTTTCGATTTAGAGATAGCGTCATACTACGTAGCCAACAATAACTAATACGGACCCCATAATGCTCTGTAGCATATCCTCGCAACATCAAATGGTGTTGAGATATACATCACGGAACGGCACCAGACTGAGGCAAAGAATTTTGATTTCATATCTATGCTGGTTAACGTTTTCAAGACGAGCTAAGATCGATCTAACCTAGTATTCATCTTTGCTTGTCCAAAGGTGTTGAAGAGAGCGGTGCTGTGGAAGTGATGGTCCCAAGTACGTAATACGGACCCCATGCTGGGGCTGTGACCCAATCCCAATTATTCCGATTTCCCCGAGTGAGGGGCACTCGCTCGAACTCTAATTGGCCGCGGTCCGGGCCCAAGAATCATTTTAGATGCCTTCTCCAACGCGGGGCTTTTTTCTTTGGGAACATGTGCATGTGAAACTCGCCCACGTCGATGATGATACATCGGACGATGATGCACCGAGGGGAGCTTACCCCAAGCATAACCCCTCATGCCTCACGAGCTGAGTATAATTGGGCCCAGAGGTAGGGACAGGAAGAGCAGAGAGAAAGAGAAAACATCCGACACTTGCCTGTTCTCATCATGGTGCGAATCGCTCAAGTTCAGTTTGAGCACTACCATTACCCCAACACACTGGGAGTCGAGGAGACGCGACCTCGAATCTCCTGGAAATTCGAAGATCATCACATCGATTTTGCTCAAAACGAATATGAGATCGAAATCTCGGACATTGCGTGGGATTCGCAAACCAGAGTCTTGTCGAGCACGAAGCGGACGTCGCCCGACTCATACCTCGTCCCGTGGCCGCACACGGAGACTTTGAATTCCCGACAGAGAATTTCAATCCGGGTGAGAGCCTGGGATGCATCCGGCGAGGTCACAGAATGGAGCGACCGGGCAGTTCTCGAAACGGGACTCTTGACTCGAACTGACTGGCAATGTCAGCGTATTGCCGCGCCATGGGGACTCGGAACTGCTGCACCAGATCCAGAACAGCTCTACCGAAAAGGCTTTGATCTACCCAGGAAAATTGCCAAAGCTCGCCTATACATCACAGCTCAAGGCGTGTATGAGGCCGAGCTCAACGGGCAACCTGTAGGCGACCACTTCATGGCCCCGGGGTGGACAACCTACGACGGTCGATTGCAGTACCAGACTTACGACGTTACATCATTACTGCAGATGGGAGCCAACACTATAGGTGTCCGTGTCGCAGAGGGCTGGTTTTCCGGGCGTATTGGCTTCGCTGGCGGCCATCGGAACATCTGGGGCCCTCACACGGCGTTGCTGGTGCAGATGGAGGTGACGACAACCGACGGAGAAGTCACCACGATTGCGTCTGACGGTTCATGGTCAGTCGCACGAGGGCCAATCCAAAAAGCGGAAATATACGATGGAGAAAAGTACGATGCGACAAGGGAAATCCCATTATGGTCGTCTCCTGGGCTCTCTCTCGATGCAGCCATCTGGTCCCCTGTTCTGGTTATGGACCCTCTTCCTGAGCCAGTGAAGCTCACGGCGGGTTTCGGCGAACCGGTGAGAAGGATAGCAACACTAAAGCCTGTTGCGACAAATATGACGCCCTCTGGGAAGCTCATTCTGGACTTTGGTCAGAACCTCGTCGGTTATGTCAGGCTGTCGAATATCAACGGGCCAGTTGGACACAAGATCACCCTCTCGCACGCCGAGGTCCTCGAACACGACGAACTGTGCACCAGACCCCTCCGAATCTGCAAAGCGACGGACGAATACATCCTCAAAGGGGAGGGAATCGAATCATACAATCCCAGATTC